CAGGACCACATCATCTGCAAAAAGCAGAGACCTGATCCTCAGGCCACCAAAACGGATGCCCTCCACACCTTGGCTGCCCATAGAAATCCTGTCCATTAAGGTTATGAACAGAATCGGTGACAAAGGGCAGCCTTGGCGGAGTCCAACTCTCACTGGGAACGAGCCCGACTTACTGCCAGCAATGCGGACCAAGCTTGATTGAGGAGGTCTTTGAGGTATTCTGCACACGATCCACAACGTCCCGAGTAGAGGTCAACAGCACACCATCCCCACTATAGATAGTGTTGGTAGCGCACTGCTTTCTCCCCCTGAGGCACCGGATGGTGGACCAGAATCTCCTCGAAGCCGTACGGAAGTCTTGCTCCATGGTCTCACCGAACTCCTCCCATGCCCAGGTTTTTGCCTTAGCGACCACCCGAGCCGCGTTCCGCTTGGACTGCCGGTACCCGTCAGCTGCCTCTGGAGTGCCACAGGCCAAAAAGACCTGATAGGACTCTTTCTTCAGCTTGACAGCATCCCTAACCGCCGGTGTCCACCAGCGGGTTCGGGGGTTGCCACCATGACAGGCACCGACGACCCTGCGACCACAGCTCCGGTCGGCCGCCTCAACAATGGAGGCACGGAACAGGGTCATTCATATGTACAGTCTATGATTCAGACTCAATGTCCCCCGCCTCCCCCGGAACATTCTGGAACTTCCGTCGGAGGTGGGAATCGAAGCTCCTTCTGAAGCTGCTTCCAAACTAGTTTTCCACAAATCTGAGAACTGAAACGTTTCTTTTTGCAAAAGGAGAAGCGGCCTTGCATGAAGTGGTTTAGCTGATTGACTTATTAACTCCTTCATGCCTAATTCTTAGAAACAAAATCACATTTGCACATACACTGGAAGGATAGTAATGCTCTTACTTTAAGTTTAGTCTGAAGAGTGCAGGAGAACTCATCACTGCAGCTTTATACATAATAAAGTTTATAAAGGCTGCATGCACCTGGTTTGAGGTGAGAGGCCAAAACTGCAGCTGCTGCAAGCCGGACTGGGCTAACAGATCACTGGAACGTGGGTCAAACTGCTTAAATACAACACAGCGTGCACAAGCCCGTACCTTTTATTATTTACTCAGTTCAGGCCAGTGCACGAACATTTTCCCAGTTTGTTTCCTTTCATGCTCATGAACCCGCTTGCAGTATGCCACAGAGAGAGAAAAGACACACATCTGTAAATCACAGTAATCATTTATGCTGGATTGCAGAAAACTTTTTCCTAATTGAGACACTCGGGTTTCGGCTGAGAAAACCTGTTTCATTTGAGCCCAAACTCCTGCAGGATGTGCACAAACCGGCTTGTCAGAGGAGCAGTTAGCACTAACAAGCACTTTGGCTGTGTCATCCAAACATCCTCACAGCTCATTTTCCTGTCTCAGCGGGACGGCACTTACACAAAAACGCACATCTATGTCACTGTTTACCTAAAATAGCTGCTGTTTCCGCTCCCCCATGTCACAACCAGCAGCTAACGAAGAAGTAAAGCGATGATGCGGACAACGGAGACTCTTAAAGGGGCTTTATCTGCATGCAGGGACTCGTCTTTATTCTCAAATTCAGCTTTCTACATCTATAACTGCTTGACTGTCTTTTGTGTCCTCAGACTCAGGCAAGTAAAGCTACTTTAGGTCAGCTTGAGGTATTTTTAATTCATCTTTCACTTGATCCTGTTCAATCAGTGCACACAACTGGAGCTGGTGAACTAGAATCTGCATTAAAACCAAACATCACTGAATAACCTGGCTACTTTAACAGAAAACCAGGACTTTATTTTAGTCTCCAACAAATAGTCATCATTGGCAGTGACGGCGTGTCCATAGGGGGCGCTGCCCTACCTGACTTGAAGGGGGAAAAAAGTGAATGAAACCACAATAGTTTAGGGGCTGCATGACTTAATTTTTTTTAAAGTCGACAGTCAGTAATGAAAATCGAGTCGACTTTGACTAGTCGTTGATGACGTCATACACCTGAAGCGGCGCAGGGGGGGGAGGTGTCGGTAGGTTCGCTGGAGTTTTTGACCATTAAAATTGCGCCCACATTTTCAAAGTGAAACATCTCTTTTAACAACAGTAGTTTCTGCATCTATACTGCTCCACTTCAGCCCTCTCCCCCCTCCCCCTGCTTCAGCCCTCTCCCCCCTCCCCCTGCTTCAGCCCTCTCCCCCCTCCCCCTGCTTCAGCCCTCTCCCCCCTCCCCCTGCTTCAGCCCTCTCCCCCTCCCCCTGCGCAGCGGCCGCAAACTCACTGATGCTCCTGCAGCCTCTCGGAGTTCCTGCTGCTCTAAACATTAAAATAATTATTTCATTTTCTGTTCCTCACTTCTGATTACCTTCAATGATGTCTGTTTGTTGCAACCAGCAGGTACAAAAACTAACTTGTTTTTATTTGACTATTTTTCTGTCCTGCCTGTTTATTATCTTCCTGCATCTCCTCTCAATCCTAAAGAGAAACTGCTACCTGGGTTCATATATATTCACCTCATGAGTTACCTTTGAACTGCAGTTCTAAAAGATCTACCGACCGCTAAAACAACGGAGTGCTCGCCGGCCGCATTAGTTAGGTGCGTCACCGGAGGACAAGGTGATGCGCCTCGCTCCACAGCAGCGAAACGCATCAGGCACAAATAAAAGACAGAAAACATTAAAGGAAATGAGCCGACATGAACGATCGCGTGTTAAATTAGTTTTTGAGGTGGCGACACCTGATTTCATAATGTTACTGTGGCCGTGCTCAGGACGCAGATGTCTGGAGCGCGTCAACGATCAGAGCTTTGCATGTGCTAGCTGGTTAAGGTTAGGATGGGGGTGAGGGGAAGGTTACATTGCAAGAGGGTAAAGGTCACAATTTGGTTAAATGTCCGTTTTACCGCGGGCGTCAGTACCGACGCTCTGGCACAGCGTGTTGCCTCCCAAAGCGCAGGAGCTCACCACCTGCTGTCTTTTCCGAGGACTGCATCTTGTCAGTCATTATCACGTGACAGCGACTAGTCGATGACAGGCATAAAACGTCACTACAGAGCAGTGAAGCCGACAACCCGTACAATAGTTATATATTTACTATAAATGTGTCAGACGTACTTAATTGAATGTGCCTTATTACACGTCATTTCTCCAGCTGTCTCTCGTTAAACGGTGGATTTCCTCCACTCCTGGGGTGCTGGGCAAAACGCCCATGACCTGCAGCTAAACACCCAATCATGTTTGGTTGCTAGGGAGAACTAGAGCATTTTGGGCCAACCAGGATCTGTGAATTGAATGCCTCTGGGGCACTAGTCTACAGTGCCCAAGCTTTCAGAAAACAACTAGCTAGCATGCTAGAAAGAGCTGGATTTCATTTTCTCTCTGTCACTTCTTCGTTCACACACACTCCATATTGAGCTGAAATCATAAAACTTGATGTAAATTGTGTTTATTTGTTCTCCTTTTATAGGATTATATCTTTTAGAACACCATGTACATGATGAGTTACTGCCACCTACTGGCCAAGATGAGTAACGCAGCTGAAGATGCGCAGCTTCGATTGAGACGCAGTAAAAAAAAAAACGTGTGGCTTTTTAGGAGGGCTGCCAACTCTCACGCATTCGACCCTCTTCACTCGCTCTCAGCGCGTTTCTGAGGTACTCTGCTACAACTGTAGTTCTGGTTCACAAATGTGTATTTACTGTTGCATTTATGGGTTTCAGTGACTTTTAACACTAATTTGTCCCACATTTTACGCCACCGTTTCATGCAGCCGCCACCTCCAAACCCGCCTTTTCTGTAGTTTTTGTCCAGGAAGAAAACGCTTGGGGAATAAACGTTTTGGACATTTTCCACAAACTGCACCACATCTGCCACTAAACTTCAACACCAAACGTCTTGCCAGAAACTCCAGAAGACACAGGTGGGGGCCTCAACTATCGCCTGGATTAAAGACTACCTGACAAACAGACCACAGTTTGTGAGGCTGAAGAACTGCACATCAAACCAGGCGATCAGTAACATTGGAGCACCACAGGGCACTGTACTCTCACCATTCCTTTTCACCCTGAACACCTCAGACTTCCAGTACAAATCAGAGACCTGTCATCTACAGAAACACTCAGATGACTCTGCAGTTGTCGGGTGTATCAGAGATGGACAGGAAGCTGAGTACAGAGAGCTGGTGGAGCGCTTTGTGGCGTGGTGTGGAAACAATCATCTGACCTTGAACGTGAACAAAACAAAGGAGATGATTTTAGACTTCAGAAGAAACAGGGTGGAGTCGAGCACTGTTTCCATCATGGGAGAAGAAGTGGAGGTGGGAGTTCACCTGGACAACAGACTGGACTGGAGAAAGAACAGTGAAGCTGTTTACAAGAAGGGACACAGCAGACTGCACTTCCTGAGGATGCTTAGGTCCTTCAATGTCTGTAGCAAGATGCTGCAGATCTTCTACAAGTCTGTTGTTGAGAGTGTAATCTCTTCAGCCATCGTCTGTTGGGGTAGCAGCATCAGAAGCAGGGACCTGAAAAGGCTCAACAGCCTAATAACAAAGGCTGGTTTTGTTCTGGGGACGACTGTGGAACCACTGGAGGAGATAATGCAAAGAAGGATTCTCCAGAGAATCAAGAAAATGATGGACAACCCTGAGCATTCTCTTCACAAGACTGTCCGACAACAGAAGAGTGTCTTCAGTCAGAGGCTTCTTCAGTTTGGCTGCAACACTGACCGCTACTGGAGATCCTTCCTGCCAACAGCCATTGTAATATACAACACCTCTTTGATGACTTGATTATTATTATTATTCTGAGCTACTACAGCAATCAGTTTCCCTCTGGGATTAATAAAGTATTTTTGAACTGAATTGAATTGAAATTCCTCCCGCATCGTTTTTATGTTTAGAGGCGACAACGGTGGTGTTGACTAATTTAAGAAAAGCTGCATCCTGTCGAGTCCCGCGTTTGCGGTCCACGGGGACGTTCAAAGACGACAAAGTCGTGGATTCTGACCAAAAGCGGTTTATTTCCTTCTGACCACAACAGGAACGAACAACACCTCAACATTCAAATGTCACATCATCGTTTAACAAGCTCACGCAAAAAAATAAACACAACTCCACCTTTAGGGTGGAAAACACGTGAATTTAGTGCACGACATCAGTTCCGTATCTGAAAATAAATAAACATGCTCAACATGTCCGACAAATCCTCCAACACGAAGCCGACGTCTGGAAGGTGAGTGAAGTTATTCAGCAGGATTTGGGGGCTAAACGTACAAAGAATGAGGACAATAACAGTTTTACGGAACGTTTTCTGCAACAAATGCTTGGTTAATCTGCTAATCTGACATTAGGATTAGAAGATGCTTGAGTGAACAGCTGGTGGATGTTTAAACAGGCAGAGTTGAACAGGTGTGAGTGATGGTTCATTTCCCAACAGGTGAAACATCTCAGCAGGACGATACGTGTGTAAGTTAACGATGGTGGAAAGAGAAGCACTCGTGTTTCCGACTCCTCTCATCAGCCACGCTCCTTCTTCCACTCGCCTTTCATCTTCCTCCCTTTCTCCTTCACTCCTGGCACCAGGAATGCCTTCATGACTTCCTTTGCAAACTCTTCCATTTCATCCTCGACGTCGCTGTCTTCCTCGTCATCTCCTTCCACCAAGTCTTCCAGAACGTCTCCCAAATCTTCCACAAAGTCCCGGAAGCTCATCTGGTCGTGAACGAACACGCCGTCTGTGAAGAATTCGGCGGCGAGCTTTCTGAGCTGCTCGGTTTTGGACGCGTCCACGCCGACCTCCTCCGCCTTGGTCAGGTAGGGCTGGAGAAGGTTCTGGAACTCCTGCAGGCCGACGGGGAGCAGCCGCTCGGCCTGGGCGCAGCTCTCCGGGGAGTGGCAGTGCTGTGGAGGCGTGGGGCGGCGCCGGAGGCGGAGCCTGTCTCTCCGATGGACCCAGTACTCCGGCTGACCTACTGAAGGTCGGGGGTGTGAGTGGGCGGGCTTCGGGTCGCCGTACGAACACTCCTCTCTGTTTTGGGAGGCGTGGGATTCGTCTCCGCCGCGCCTCCTCTCCTTCTCTCCTCTCCTCTTCCACTCCTCCTTTCCCCGCTGACTTAAACTCTCATCTTTCTTCCACCTTTCTTCATTTCTGCTCTTCCTCTCCTCCCTCGTTCTTTCTCCATCGTAACTTCTGCCGTCCTCCGCCTGCTTCCTCTCACTCTTTCCTCTCCCCTCTTTGGGATGATCCTTTTCCTCTTTCTTCTCTCCTTTCTTCTTCCATTTCTCCCTGCCACTTCCTTCCACCCCCTCTTTATCTCTCGACCACTCCGTCTCTCCCTTCCCGGCCTCCCAGCCCTTGTGCCTCTCACCATGAGACATTCCTCCCTGGTGCCCCTTTTTCTCTTTATCTCTCCATTCATTTACTTTTCCCTTCTTCCACTCCTCCTTGCTTTCTTTCTCTTTCCGAGGCTTGCCGTCTTCCCCTCTCTCTTTCTTCCCTTCTTTTTCCTCATCACCCTGCCACTTTTCTTTCCTTTTATCAAACGTCCCTCCTTCATGTTTTCCTTTCTTCCACCCTTTTTCATCACCAGGTTTGTCCTCCTTTTGTTCTCCTCCCTTTCTTGCACTCCTCTCGCTCTCTTTAGACGGTTTCTTCTCTTGTTTAGCTTCACCTTTTCCCAGTTTAGGCTCTTTCTTCTCTTTACGGTCATCCCGAGACTTCCTGGTCTGTCCGTCTGTGGGTGGAGCCGTGACCTGGCTGCTGTCTTCTGGTTGGCCAGTAGGGGGCGACGTAGAGAAGCTAAAGTCTCCTGGAAAAAAACCAAAATCAATAAAACTACAGACACAAAAAGCTTATGAATAAGTAAAAGTAAGAATATGAATAAATGACTAAATTATATATACCCCCCCCCCTTTCCCTCCCCCCTCCACACTTCCCCGCTCCTCCCCCCTAGGGTGACCAGACCCCAGCTGGCCAAATGTGGGACAAGGTAAAGTTCCAACGAGAAAACAAACAAACAAAAGGTATATTCTGCCTTTTAGCGCCAACATTTATCATCATATGTTTTATTTTAATTCAACATGAAGAAACAAAAGCTTTTCTATTTCACTGTTCCTCTCACGCTCCCACAACATGACTCTGTAGCGGCTCTGATCGGCCCACAATAATAAAAACATGCAGGTTTAAGCAGCTTTTCTGAGTTTTCACTGAATGTTTTCCACAACAGAATGACAGTAAAAGTACCAGTAATATTTTTATGTTTGTTTTTAATTAATTTTCCACTACCTTTATGGACAGAATTTCTAGGCGCAGCCGTGGTGTGGAGTGTGTCGTAGGGTTGTCACGGTAACCGGTATAGCGGTAAACCCCGGTAAAAAAGTTGACAATAAAAATAACCGTCCAGTTTTTAAAAAACTAAATTATCTCGTTGGGTTTACCGTGGCCGCGGTTTCGGCGCGATGACCCTTACCAGCCACCGTCGCTTCAGCTGAAGTTCCCGCGGCGCGCACTTTTTAGTTTGCAACGGCACCAAAACTTTGAAGCTGAAATAATGGCCGAAGGAGGAGACGGCAGCGCCCAGGACACCCATCAGCCCTCAAAGAAGACTAAATCGGAAGTATGGGCATATTTTGGATTTCTGAAAAATGCTGAGGGACAGAAGACGGCTATCCCGTTTGCAGAACGTGCAGGAAACAAGTGTCTGCAAAAGGCAGCAACACTTCCAATCTAATGGCACATCTGCGTGACCATCACCCACGTCTCTACAGCCAGTGCAAGGTAAGTTAACATTAGCTTTTTAGCTTAAATGCATGACGTGAGGACTTTTGGTTGAGGGAGAATGCAACGAGTCACTATATACTGCAGCCGCAGCGTCCTCTGCCAGCATTTAAACCGTGTCACGGACACCCTGTTGCTGGATGAAGCATCTTATTTGTTGATGATGAAGAGAAATATACAATTAGTTCCTTGTCATTGATTTGTTTACTTATTCAATGCCATTTATACTTGGACATTTGGATTTGATTACGTAGTGTAGTAGTTATTTTAGTCATTTGTTTAAAGTGGCTATTTATTTTAAATACATATTTTTTAAGGTTGACTTGTACAGCGCTCAAGTCAAGTGTGGACTGGAGTTTTAGATTTTCATTTTGATAATGAAGAAAACAAGTATATGAGAAAACAAGTGGTGTTTCTTTGATTTGTTTACATATTGTTTATGTTTTGAATGTTTGGATTTGTATCATTTAAACCTGCACTGACTACTGTAACATGTTCCAGAAAAATAAGCTATTTGTTCCTTTACTTGTGAAAAGTTGCACTTTTGCTAAGGCTTTGTGTTATTTTAGGTTTAATAAACACTGTTAAACATTTTCAGTTTGTGTAGAACAGGACTATCAATGCTTTCTGAACATATGCAACACTGTTTAAAAAATACCGCGATAATACCGAAAACCGTGATAATTTTGGTCACAATAACCGTGAGGTTACATTTTCATACCGTGACAACCCTAGTGTCGAGTTTGGTGGCAGGAGAATCTCGTCTCTGCTTTTTGCGGATGATGTGGTCCTCCTAGCTTCATCCAGCTCTGACCTTCAGCTCTTGCTGGGTAGGTTTGCGGCCGAGTGTGAAGTGGCTGGGATGAGGATCAGCACCTCCAAATCTGAGACCATGGTTCTCGACCGGAAAAGGGTGGCTTGCCAACTCCGGGGCGGGGGAGAGGTCCTACCTCAAGTGGAGAAGTTTAAGTATCTCGGCGTCTGCAGTGATGCGGACGCTGAGCCGATCTGTCGTGGTGAAGAGGGAGCTGAGCCAGAAAGCCAGGCTCTCGATTTACCGGTCGATCTACGTCCCAATCCTCACCTATGGTCATGAGCTTTGGGTAATGACCGAAAGAACGAGATTGCGGATACAAGCGGCCGAAATGAGTTTCCTCCGTAGGGTGGCCGGGCTCAGCCTTAGAGATAGGGTGAGGAGCTCGGACATTCGGGAGGGACTCGGAGTAGAACCGCTGCTCCTCTGGATCGAAAGGAGCCAGTTGAGGTGGTTTGGGCATCTGGTCAGGATGCCTCCTGGACGCCTCCCCGGGGAGGTGTTTCGGGCATGTCCTGCCGGCAGGAGGCCCCCGGGTCGACCCAGGACACGTTGGAGAGGTTACGTCTCCAATCTGGTCCGGGAACGCCTTTGGGTCTTGCCGGAGGAGCTGGTGGAGGTGGCCGGGGAGAGGACGGTCTGGAGCTCCCTAGTTGGGATGCTGCCCCCGCGACCCGGACCCGGATAAGCGGAGGAAGACGACGACAACTAAAATCAGCATCTCTTAGAAAAAATATCCACACTTTTTCGGTATTTTTGTCATAATTCAGAAACAAAACGTATTTTTTAAACATGACAACAAATCTCATATAGATTTTAGGAGAGAGAATAAACATCAGATTATAATCTCTAAAAAAATCAGATCTAATCTAATAAAAGTTTCTTAGAGTTACTGCGAATAAGTGATGAAAGCTTCCATTTATTCCCGTTATTTCTTCTCTGTGCTTTAAGGGGCTCGGCGTGTAGCACCGTGTCTGTGTTAGAGCCTCCATTGTGTTCATCATGGACCTGTCTAATTCCTGGAAAACCTGCTTTTGACCTCCATATCAGACTTTGGCCGAGACATGAAGAATGACTCAGAAACAGCAACGACTGTCGAGCGTCTCTGAACACGTTTCATTCACGAGTTTACGGCGTTTTCTCCTCCGTGCTCGCTCACGCACGTTTTGGTGGTTCGGGCGCGCTCCACAGGCTCCAGATCGGCGTTATAAGTCCCGCCTCCGTTTGACAGACAGCAACAAGCTGATTTCTCCAGTTTCTTCTAGAAGACTGAAACTTGAAACGGGAAACTGTCCATAATGCGGGACATGAGTCTTAATTTGCGGGACACGTGATGAAGATGTGGGACATCTGGTCACCCTAGCCCCTCCCTACCTCCTCACCCGGTTCTCTGTACCTGAGGGGAGGATCGTTTTTGTCCCAGCGCCTCTCAGGGTTTCTAGCTCTTTCTGTAGGACCGGCACAGACTCCAGCTCTTTCTTCATCCTGTCGTTCTCTTTCTGAAGGACAGAGAGAGAGGCCGTCTCCATCTTCAACCTACTGTTCTCCTTCTCCACCTCCTCCCAGAGCAGACGCTCCTTCTCTCCCTCCGCTGCCTGTTCCGTCAGCACTTTCAGCTCCTCTTTCTGCGCCTGGTCAAAGAACAGAGGAAGCAGGGGTCCCAGAAGGACGTAAGAGACGCGTTTGTGTTACATACAGGTGTGGACATGTCACAGAGGAGAGAGGAAGCAGCAGACAGAACGGAGTCACACCTGAAGTTGAGCTTGGAGAGCAGAAATCTGCTGGTTTCCTTCAGCCAGCTTATTCAGAAGCTCAGAGGTGTCAGCGTCGGGGTGAAACCACCCCTACAACACACACACACACACACACACACACACACACACACACACACACACACACACTGAAATTGATGGTAAATTGTTCCACTTTGGTTTCAAAAGTCTCCACATTCGTAGGATTCGTGCTGAAGTCTCTCTACCGCCTCTATAAACACTCCATCCACCTTCTGTCAGAGTCTGGTTTTAAGAATCATGCACCTAAAAGAAGCGGTTTCAAAAAGTCCCTGTTGTGATGTCACAAACAGGGAAGTAGACTAGAACCACCTCTCGCTTCCACAGGCTGGAGGAGCGGTAGCTCCTAACCCTCTTCCTGATAGCAGAGATTCTCATCTCATAGCAGCCAATCAGGGGATGGTGGGCGTGGTCAGCCCCAGCTGGTTTACTTAAAGTGACAGTGCCCTAAATGAACTCATTCTGGAAGGTACTGAAAATGTCAGGCCGAAAACAGCTGAAAGGAATTGAATGAAAATAACTTCATGATGTTTGGCACCAACAGTCCTAATGTGTCCCCTTTAAAGCAACACCAAACAGTGTTTGGACTTGAAGCTAGCGCTTTAACGTCGATCTCTGGGACCGAGTTAGAAACTTGGCCCGTTTCGTGTCTGACACCACTCTGCTGCCCCAAAACCACACCTGACTGTTTTGAGGAGCAGGTAGGTGCCCTATAGGGGGAGCTCTGTACCTGCATCTGACAGCTGCTATGCTAGCTATTAGCAGTTTCAGTTCAAAAATTGTCAATTAAAAGCACAAGAAGAAGAAAATGAAGTTTGCTTTTTCTATTGGCATCAAAGTTTAGTCAGCTGTAGATTTAGTCTGATGATTTCTTTCTGAGTGTTATTGGAAATCTGCCCAGAGCTTCATGCGATAATAACAGATAATAACAGATATAAACAGATAATAACAGATAATAACAGATAATAACAGATAATATCAGATAATAACAGATATAAACAGATATAAACAGATATAAACAGATAATAACAGATAATAACAGATATAAACAGATAATAACAGATAATAACAGATATAAACAGACAAATGCTTCACTAATAAACACAGAGAAGACTCCGACTGACCCGTTTCCCTGGGGGCTCGGCGTCTTTTAGCTCCACTGCAGCGTGGTCGTTTTCTGTTAAACAAGTCAAGGTGGACATCATGTCTCCAGACAAGACTCCCACTGTAAACTGAATTTGATACGCTGACAGAGAAACGTGGCAATAAAAACGAAGTTTCAAAGGTTTTTATCGTGAGAAGCAAACGCACTTTTACAGATTTCTGGATTTTTGAGCTCTTACCCACGAAAACTGTTTAAGCATCCAGAATCCGGACAAAGACTAGAACAGAGGACGGTGGATGCTCAGAGCTCACGTTGTGGCTAATTCATGCAAATGTTGAACAAAACAACAAGTAATCCTGCAGCACTCGTTATTTTAAAGCTGCGTCGCATGCGGCTCGTTTTCTTTCAGCATGCACATGCACAGAAGCATGCTGAGGCTGAACCTACCCTCATCCCGCTCCACGAAGACACCTGCAGGCACAGCACACCTCAGCATCCTTCATCCAGTCCACCGTGACTCACTTTCAACGTCAACATGCATGAAGTCAGCCTAAGGTGGAGGTCAACAGGTCAGGAGGCGGGGCTTACCGGAGAAGAAGATGATTCCAAAGCCGAGCAGAATGACAGCACCCAGGATGCACTTGTTAAGAGAGAAGATGCTGCTGTTCTCCTGCTGGGGCAGGTGAAATTCTTCCTCTTCCTCCTCCTCTTCCTCCTCTCCTCGTCCAATCTGCTCCAGAGCAGCAAGGAGAGGCTTGTTCCTCCTCTCCTCTGGCGCTCCTGTAGCTCCCGTCTTCACCGTCGTCTCATCTGGATCCACAGGCGGGTTTGGATCAGCGCACAAATTATTTTTATTTATTATTTATGAAATGTGCCGTTTCAGGACGATCTAAACATGAGTACACCATAGCTTAATAATAGTAGTAATAACACGTGTATATTCATTAGTTGTATTGACTGAAGCAGCCCTAAACTAACGGTGCGGTTTGACGTCTAACCTGACTCCTGAAAAAGGTTTTGTGCTGAACTCTGGATGTGGGGCGGAGCCCCGATCACACGTTTGTTTCT